CCAGGACTCGAACCGCGACCGACAACATGGGAGTTCAGCGAAATATCCATTACACTAACTGCTGGTCCCACCAACTGATTTTTAACAAAGGATACCAGTCAATCCACTGGGAAAAGGAAAGCCTCTTTAATAAATGGTGCTGGAAAAACTGGGTATCCACCAGCAGAAAATGAAACTGAACCCCCATCTTTCACCATTAACAAAAGCCAACTCAAAATGGATCAAAGATTTGAACCCAAGACCTCAAACTATAAAACAACTGGTGGAAAATACTGGGGAAACTCTGGGAGATATTGGAGTAGGCAAAGACTTCTTAAATAAGACTCCCAAAGCACAGGCAATAATCCCTAAAATAGACAAATGGGACTGTATCAGATTAAGAAGTTTCTGCACAGCGAAGAACACAGTTATTAGTGAGCATCAACAACCCTCACAATGGGAGAATATTTTGGAAACTGTGTCTCAGATAAGGAACTGATAACCAGAATACACAGGGAACTCAAGCAGCTTGCCCAAAAAAGAAAGATTAACCCAATTAAAAGATGGGAAAATAAGCTGAACAAAAACCTCTCTAAGGAAGACATGAAAGATATGAACAGCCAAAAAGCATATGAGACAATGCTCAACATCCCTCATCATAAGGGAGATGCAGATTGAAACCACATTGAGATACCACCCGACCCCTGTTAGAATGGCAAAGATTAAAAATATAAAAAGTGGTAAGTGTTGACGGGGATATGGTGAAAAGGGAATTCTCCCACACTGTTAGTGGGAATGTTAACTGGTTCAGCCACTGTGGAGAACAATGTGGAGATTCCTTAAAGATCTACAAATAGAACTACTGTTTGATCCAGCTATCTACCCAAAAGACAGGAGAACGCTCAGTCAGAAAAGCATGTGCACATCTGTGCACATCAATGTTTATTGCAGCATTATTCATGATCACTAACATTTGGAACCAACCCAAATGTTCACAAACTGATGAATGGATTGAAAAGGTGTGGTACATATACTCTATGGAACACTATTCAGCCATAAAACAAAAAACAAAAAACAAACAAACAAACAAAAAGACCCTGGCTTTTTTTTTTTTTTTTTCTTTTTTTGGAGGGGTTTATGCTTAAAG